CTGGTCGGATGTGCACATGCATACCCCAAATCCTGAGAGGTGACTGGAGAAGATTACTGTGTGGCCATCCCTCTGAGGGGGTGATTTCTCACTTTCCCTGTCTCTTTTTCTCTGTCTTTGGCAAGTGCATGTGCTAACAAACTAAAGGAAAAAAAAAATTATCACCTTAAAATGGGATTAAATATGTTTTTTAAAAAAAGGTTTTCAGTGCAATGTTAACACGAGCTATACAACTCTTCCTAAATACCAAGCAAAACACACACGTGCGCATGCACGCACAGACACACAAAGAAAACAAATACAGAAATACAGTAAATGTAATCTACCGTGTATATTAAAGAGAGTATGAAATTGTGGAAGAGTTAGACTATAAATAAGAGAAACAGGAATGTTTGTGTTCTTGTATTCTTATCCTCCCACACCAATCATAGTCATAAGGATTGCAATATCAAATGAAACAATTCATACCAGTTCAGTGATAGACAAAACAACTTTTAATAATACAGATAGAGTAACTTCAGACTAAAATTAACTTTTGAGGAGAGGATGTTCTTACTTATAACAGAATACCTGCCAGCAATACAAGGATATAGGAAGAATTAAATTCGACAATTTCGAGTATGCAAATATAGTAATTGACATAGCAGGGACACTTAATGGATGGTGAAGTTTTTAGAGAACAATCGTGAAAAAACTAGATACATATTTTCAAAGCATGACTCACTAACTTGCTTCATCATGTTAAAAGGTATGTTCACAGTAGATAGATCTAAGTGACCCTTACCTAAGAGACCCTTACCTAGAATAACTTCAGACTAAAATTAACTTTTGAGGAGGGGATGTTCTTACTTATAACAGAATGCCTGCCAGCAATACAAGGATATAGGAAGAATTAAATTCGACAATTTGTAGTATGCAAATATAGTAATTGACATAGCAGGGACAGTTAATGGATGGTGAAGTTTTTAGAGAACGATTGTGAGAAAACTAGATATTTACATATTTTCAAAGCATGACTCACTAACTTGCTTCATCATGTTAAAAGGTATGTTCACAGTAGATAGATCTAAGTGACCCTTACCTAAGAGACCAGTCCTCACATTCGACAGTAGCAGTGAGGGAGAAACGGGACTTTCTCTCCCTGCAGATGGGAGGCCGTAGCAAGCGAAAAGCATGAACTATGTAGTGTTCTTGGCAAAACGTTTACAATGAATTTAATCACGAGGCAATTATCAGAGAACTCAAAATGTGGACTACAGATTAAGACAACTAAGCTGTCCTGTACAAACCAGGCAGTGTCACCACCACCAACGACAGCAACAAAAAGGCGAGATGTTTTCTGGTTCAAAAGGACGAAAATCTTTTCAGTCCTTGAGAACCAAAAATGCCTCTCCTCCATTTTGTAGTCACAGTTATGGTGACATTGCCTGTTTGAAGAAGACAAGTCAGCTGTCTTATTCAGTAGCCTGGGTTCTGAAGTCGTCTGATAATTACTTCCTGATTCAATGCCATCCGAACGTTGTGGGCAACAACACTGCATTGTTTATACTGCCCGCTCCTAGCACATCCCATCTGGAGGCAAAGATTGCCCGGTTTCACCTGTTGTCTTCATCCAGCTGCTCCTGACCCTGCTTCTCCGCAAGATTGGCATTTAGAGAAACAGGGCTTGGGTCTGGCAATACTGTTTGTGCAACTGGGCCACAGTCTCCTTGGGTATTTCTCACAACTGGAGGCTAAAAGGCTGTGATTTCTCCAAATGAAGCTATCTATTGAATAAAAAATCATGAAGAATGGTTTGTGTCCGCAAAATCCAGTTCTCAGTGAACAGTCCCTGCAGTGTGCTATTTGCATTTTAACTTATTTTGCTGTTTTAGATTTTTTCTTGAAGTGGAAAAGTTCCTTTCTCCAACACAGTTGATCCAAATTGCGTGTATCTTCCCTCGTTTCCACTTGCTCTTGGTATCTGAGAGAAGGAGGGAGAAATGAATAGTCTCTGTCAGGTTCTGTGGATGACTGAGCCTGGGGAGGTTGCTAACACGTGACAGCGGCCAGAGGCAAATTTATAACAGCTCCTGTGGATGGAATGAGCTACAGGGCTGAGCCTCAGGCTGGCTGATGGGGAAAGTGATGTCCCCAAGTTACAAGAGAAGCCACCCTCAATTGACAATTCAGCCTGCAGTACATGACCTCTGCCCTCCCCCAAATAGGAGCTGGTGATAGTAGCCATTTTTCTCCGGATCTCTTTGTTTGGAATGAAATGATGGCTTTTCACTTCTCTCACTGAGGGATGTGCTGAGCATCAGTCTTGCACATTCACACACGGCTGCAGGAAAGTAAGGACCGCTGCACGGAAGCACAACCTCTATTATAACCCTATGTCCAGGTCTTAAAGGATGAGTGAGTGGGCTACATAAAAAGCACTAGAGGGAACCAGCAGTTAGCGTAATGGCTATGTCGCTGGATTCCCACGTAGTCGACAGCGGTTCACGTCCCAGGCCCGGTGGCTTAGAACTTACGCCAGGCGCATGTGCGTGCGTGCCCAAGATCCCGAGAGGAGAATGGAGGAGAAGGGATTGCAGCGTGACCATCCCCCCTCGAGGATGATTTCTTGCTTTCTGTCTCTTTGTCTCTCTCTATCTGTCTGGCGAGCGCACACGCCCTATACCGAACACCTCAAAAAAAAAAAAAAAAAAAAAAAAACCAAAAAAAAAGAAAAAAAAAAGAAACGG